CTAAATATCAGATCTGATTGATCAGATCAAAAAAATTGGATTCAAGGTCAAGATCTAATTAATTAGATCATCATAAATTAATAGCCCGAATAAATAAGATCAAACAAATTGGATTTTAATAGAAAGTACTCGGACAAAATTTTAATCTTCGAACTCAATTTAATTTTATCTTCAGTTTCTAATAAAAATGACTATCAATAACATTCGAATTTACTATTTTTTATTCTACTATTTGAGAGAAAGAAAGCATAGCACGTATCGTGTACAGCAAAGGAGGAAAGGAGGGGGACGGGGCAGAAAATTAATAGAATGGGAAACGGATAAGGTTACTCCGGTGAGTATGTGGGACGACGTCCATGTAACTGTATTCAGTTTTAGAGTTTGACGAGCCGGACGGTCGATTTATCGATTGGTCGTGCACGAATACCGGGGACACATGAATAAATAAGAGCTCTTTTCTATTTTCTCCAGTAATCTTCAAGTTAAAAACTACAACAAGACCAACTCCTAATTTTAATCCATAATTTATAACCTTCGTTTTATAAATAGCAATTTTTTTTTATTGTTGCATAAAAAAATTCTGAAAAAAAAAAACACTTATTGTGATTGATAATTAATATTGAAAAAAATAACTAAATTTTTACACACCATTTTATTTAATTTTTTAAACATTTACAATCAACATTCATTCTTAATTATACATAGTTTATTATTTTTTTTATCATTTTAATTAAATATACATATAATGCCGTAGGTTTTTAAAATTTCATTTGTTATATTACAGCGTCTTTTTATAATTAATGGAATACAGGTGGTTTATTTTTATTATTAATATTATTACAATTATCATTATTAATGTAACCAACTTACTGTATAGACATTCTTTACACTTCTATCTAATATTATTAAATACTTTCTGCTGATATGTGTTCGTACTTTCGCATCAAATACTAAATTAATGCTAATGAAAGCATTAGTTTTTTTTTTAATTTTATAATATTTTTTTTTTTTTGGTATTAACATTAATATTACTGAAGCTTACCTCGTAACATTTAATTGATTTGTTGTTTTTCTGTTAAATAAAAAATAAAATTACTTTTTGTTTAATGTTAAAAAATTAACTGGCAATACGTCATGATATGTATAGATTACTTGTTACAATGTTGATTAACATGTGTAACCGGTGATATGTATTGATATACTTTTATTATAAGAATGGAGCAAAATTAGATACTAATAATGATAGATGTAACAAAAAAATTTCAATATGTGTTAATGCATTAATTAGACATAAACGAAAAAGTCTTATAAAAAAAGTCAGATCTGATTAATTGGATTTAATTTTTCAAATCTAATTAATTGGATCCAATCAACACAATCTAGTAGATAGATGTGATTATTTAGATTTTATTACTCAGATCTAATTAATTGGAATTAATTAATAAGATCTAATTAATTGGATGTAAACATTCGATCTGACTAGTTAAATTTTAGAGTCAGATGTTATTTGTTAGATCTGATTAATTAGATTGAATTAAACTTAAACTTAAGTCAGACGATATTAATTAAATTAGTTAATCAGATATCATTATCAAGATTTTCCAATTCAGATCTAATTATTAAGATCTATTATTCAGATCTAATTATTAAGATCTATTATTCAGATCTAATTATTAAGATCTATTATTCAGATCTAATTATTAAGATCTATTATTCAGATCTAATTATTAAGATCTGTTATTCAGATCTAATTATTAAGATCTAATTATTAAGATCTATTATTAAGATCTATTATTCAGATCTTATTCATTAGATCTAATTTATCAGATCTTATTCATTAGATCTAATTTATCAGATCTAATTCATTAGATCTGAACAACAGATTTTATGCGTAGATCTGGACATCGGATCTGATTTATAGATCTGGACATTAGATCTAATATCTAGATCTGGACATTAGATCTAATATCTAGATCTGGGCATCAGATCTGATTTATCTGATCTAATTTATTAGATCTAGACTTCGGATATGATAAATTTGATCCAAATAATTAGATCTGATTTAATAGATTCATGGAATATGATCTGATTTATTAGATTCAAGGAAAATGATCTGATTTATTAGATTCAAGGAATATAATCTGATTTTATAAATTCAAAGAATATGATGTGATTAATTAGATCTAAATGCCAGATCTAATTAATGGATCTCAAAGAATAATCTAATTAGTCAGATTTAATAAGTTCAATCTAATCAATTAAATCTTTCAGATCCGATCACTTAGAAATAAATTAACAGATTTTTTTTAACCCAATCAAAACTTATTAATATCCAATATTGCTCCATTAATTACAACCCTTAAAATTAATCTAGCACCAGAAAATACATTTACACTTAACAATCTATTATTACTCGTATTTTTTTTTTCTTTTTTTTTTTCATTTTTTCAGAGAAATATTATATACCTATTTTCCATTATTATTATTATCAATATTAACATATAATTTTTTTCATGATTTTAAATTTACTGTCGCGCGTTAAAATAATCGCAAGTCCTCAGCGATTGAAAAAAAAAAAAAAAAAAAACAAATAGTCAGTAATTACTACAGTATATAAAATTAAATAAATAAATTTTTCCTCAATATTTGTCGATAACAAATTAATAGTTCCGACAATTGAATCTCTTCCTCATTCAACTTACCAGAATACATAAAAAATAACAATACTAAACTCAACATCAACCACTTTCCCATTATTAACAATAACGTCGTACACTTTTACAATGTTATCTTTCTCCCTTTGGTACTCTCTCTTCCCTCCCGCCCTCTACCGTGCGCGTCATTAAATAACATCCTTCACTCGCACAAATTAATCCAATTTATAATACATTTATACTTTTTATTTTTTTAATTAATATTATTATTATTATTATTTTGTGACGTAATGGCTTAAATAAAAGTAACAAGGATGAAGGTAACAACGATGACTTTTGACTTTACACTAAATATTAAATTAATTATTAATATTATTATAATTTTTACTATTTGGGAGTCTTTAGTCATTATAATTATTTTTCATATTTTTTTTTTTTTTCAAAACTATATACATAAATATGTAAATGCTCGAAGGTACGCGTACACAAGACTGAATCCGGTCAGTCATTACATTTATTTATTTATTTAATTATTATTTTTTTTTTTAACTATTGGCTTACTTGCATCTGCGTATTCGTTAGACATTTTTCCATATATTTATACTTTAATCTTGTAATATACTATATGATAAACACAACTCATATATATTTATTTATATATTTATATATATGCAGATCGATCTAATTTGTTATTGGTTGTGCTGACAAACGAGAGATTGATCTAGATATTTTTTATCCGTGCGAAGCCGTTGGATAAAGGGAAGAACGATTGATTGCGATACGAAAGCTTCCGATTAATAATAAATCTAGTTAATTTTTTTTTATTCTTTATATCTATGTCTAGAATCACTCGTTTGTCGTCGGTGGATCGATACATTTTTTCGGAAAAATAAGTAATTGGATTTTCAGTGGAATTAAGATCTAATGATCTTTAGGTTATGTATGTGACAGAATAGATTTTAGTGATGATCTAATGATTTTTGTGGAAAATTAGATCTAGATCTGATTAATTAGATCTAATCAATTAAATTAGAATCCTAGGATCTAATAAAATATCTTTGGCTCTTGAATTTATTAAAGATATTTTGGATCAGATCTAATTAATTGGATCCAGATCTAATTAATCAGATCAAGATCTAATTAATTAGATCTAATCAATTAAATTAGAATCGTAGGTTCTAATAAAATATCTTTAGCTCTTGAATTTATTAAAGATATTTTGGATCAAATCTGATCAATTGGATCCAGATCTAATTAATCAGATCCAGATCTAATTAAATGGATCTAGATCTAGTTGATTGGATCTGAATCTCGAATTTGATTAAAGGTATTAGTGTTCAGTTCTAATTAATTGGATCTAGATCTAATTAATTGGATCTCATTTATTAGATTTCACATTTGGAATGTAATTAATTAGATCTGAGTCTGTAAGATTATTGGAGATATCAAAATCGTTTATCCAATTAATTAGATCTGGAATCTAGTTTCGATTAATCAGATCTTACCTTTAGAATCCAATGAATCAGATCAAAATTTTATTAAAGAAATTCGAATTTTGGATGTGATTAATTATGTATAAATATGAATGACAAAATTTGTCTGATCTAATTAATTAGATCTGAACTTCTCTTCTAATTAATTAGATCTAGACATTTTTTATTTTTGAACTAACAGATGACAATTGTACGCATCAAATCTGATTTTTTTGAGTAAAAGTTTAACTTCAATTAATTAGATCTAGACATTTGCCAAAAATTGACTCGTGATTTTCCAATTCTAATAGATTTATCTCCTCTACATTTTAAATTCCACTTAAAATCCAATAATCATTATTTCAGATCGTCTGCCTACACCAAAGCCTTCTAATAAAACTTTAATATATACAACAATAATGACAATACATCAATATTTCGTGTCTTTGTGTTATAAATATATTTCCATGTATATATATATAATATTAATAATTAATAATTAATATATATCTCAAAAAATAAAACAACTAGGCCTAAGTGGCGATGCGGTGTCCGTAGTTAATTCCGTAGCGGAGATAATCCCAAAATGGCGACTAGTGTCACGAGAAATGGATGCCAGTCACAACTAGAAACTACAGGTAGCTCCATCTTGTGCGATGGCAAGCTACCCGAGTGACTAACCATGACTAGCGACATCTTTTGGCTTACGGAGATAACAAAACCCCTAACCGATGACGAAACTTGATTGAAATAACTTACTGATTAGTTCAATAAACTTATGTACGTAGGTATTGATAAATAAACAATAGACAACCGCATCACCAGAGTTATTGTTGGTCACAGCTTGTGATCATGGAACCAATTATAGAGTAACCTATAAGGCAGTATTAGACTGCAGCTGACGTATGTTAGTATGGTGAGGAACAGTGTGACCACCAGAGGCACCACCTCCACCTCCGCTGGTCCCACCGCCATTAGCAGCTATCAACTGGCTATTTGGTTCTAGTTCCATGTCATAGTCCGGCTCGAGTGCTGGATTAACTCGGCCGTTAGATTCATCTTTGCTGCCGTATAGTTTTCCCATTCCGGCTGCTAAAACTGCCATCTGTTCACCTTCGGCAGGATCTGGGCCAACGCGTTCGACGTCCTCGGGAATGTTAACCACGCAACGGAACACATCGTACCCGGGTGCCAGTTTCCCAGTTAGGAATACGTACTGGGTCCCCCAAGAGACACCAATGAGAGTGATCAGGGATATCAGCATCGCCATTGTGCGAAAGGGAAACATCTGGACCTGGTTGACCTCATCGTACCCCGGAAAATGGATCAACGCGGGTAAACCTAACATAGCTTCACCCCCGCTCAGTCTTACCACAAATGCGATAATGTAAGCTGCTAAACTGCCGTAGGTGTTGCAGTAGTCCTTGAAGTGGACCACCATCAGTAATTGGGGGAAGAGTATCACGTAGACCAGGTCAGAGCACATTGACCACAGACCGTAGATAGATGGTATTGTTAATGCCATTATGGTGCTGAGCACCCCGACAATTGCTATCCCGACCCGCATCACCCAGATTATTTCCATCTCCGACGCCTGGAGTGGACAATAAGGCGTTAAAGGACTGGTTGCTTTGCCAGGATGGACCCTTTGATGGTTGGCTTGGTTCTGAGTCATTAAAGTCCAACTGTTTGGAGATAATTGGCTAACAAGGCCCCAATTGATGCCTCAAAAGGGTCCATCCTGGCTAGATCCTGCTAATCGTTAAAAGAATCACTTACCCGTTGACGGAATATCAGCTTATAGACGTTCCTGGCAAACATCGAGCTGGCTGACAAGATACTGCTGTCAGCTGATGACATCACTGCAGCTGAGACGGCTCCAAGCCCGAAGAAGGACACAAAGTCCGGTGTGAGATATTGAAGCACCATCGGCAGGATCATGCTGGTTTCTCCTGGGCCCAGTGGATACGGTCCTCGATACCCAGTTTCGTTCCAAGCTAGACAACACCAAAACCCCAAGCTATTATTTGTGATACGGGGCTTAAATTAGTCACGGGTGCGTTGGTGTGTTTACGTAAGCTATCGAGTCGCATTATAACCACCCTCCTACGGAATGGAGAGGGTAAAAAGGATCGAAACACATGTCGGAATCCCACGGCATTGTATTGAAAAGCGCGACCCCTAAGCTTAAGTTTTAACTTAAAGTACCCGTGGGTTGAAATTCTATCTCTGTCGCATCAACCACCGGCCTTGCCAAATGTCAAGTAGCCTTGAGTTTGCCGTATCGAGTTTTTGGTACGTGGGCTGGCAATGTTAATGTTGGTTTAGGAGCACCCTAAGGGGAACCTAAATTCCTTACAAACGGGAGCTAATTTAATCCCCCCAAGGCCAACAAACTTTTATCAAAAGAGGACAATAGTTGTGTTGATGGTCTACTAAACCATTAAATTCTGAGTACTTACGTGTTCCTTTGGCAATGGCACCGATCATCACTGGTGGAATGGCCATCAGGATACACCCAGCGGCTGCTACGTAGCTGAGCAATTGGGCACGTCCTGCTGTTTTGGAGGACAGCACCCTTTGGAAGTAAACTTGCCAGGGAATACCTCCGAATATGAGAAGCAGTCCGTAGTCGAGGTAGGACCAGTATTCCTCAGAAGGGACATTGCCAATCCAATCTACGTCCAAAGAATCCAAGGGCTGAACCAGAGGATTCATCCAGGCAAAGGGGATACACATCCACTTTAACAACCAGGAAACTGATGTGAATCTCTTTCTTTGATGGATTCTTTTGAAAAGTTTAGGGAAGATAATTATCCGGGAATTGGTACGGATTCACGTGGTAAGCTGGATAATCTAGGCGGTTTGGCAATTGGGTGATAAGGCGAGGATTTGATGGTGATCTTACCAGTCCGATGAATATACAGAACAGCTGGATGACGTCTGTGTATGCTACTGCGTAGAGTCCGCCGAACAGGGTGTAGAAGACTGCGATGCAAGCGCTGAATATGATCGAGTGGCTGTGTTTCATGTCGATTATCACAGCAATGGTGGCGCCTAGCGCAGCGAGGATTCCAGCTGCCCAGAAGACTTCGCCACACAAAGCTGGTAAGAATAGCAGTCCACCCATTCGTTCGCCAAAGGCGTCTTGAAGTGGATCCAACATCGTGATGTACCCCTGCTGTCGCATTTTGTTAGCAAAGAAAATTCCACCTGAAAAAGACACGTGTTCTCATTGATTGGCGGAAATTCGGGAAAATTTGGGGTGATATTTACCGAAAACAAGACTAAGAGCGTAGCCGAAGGGAGCTTGGCACCAAACCAGGCCCCGGGTGTAGACCATTTCTGCAGTTCCATTGATGTACCCTCCTCCGACCCATGTTGCAGTCATAGTGAAGATACCGACAAACAGGCCGATTGATCGGCCAGCCAGCATCACCTCTTCCTCGGAATCATTTCCAGCCTCTTTTTTCCTTGCTGCCCAGATTCCGACGCCCAGAATCAGGACGTAGAACAGACCAATCGACACCACACCGGCTATGTTAATCATCTTGGGTTGTGTTAAATCAATGGGCGTTAATTCGAAATCGCGGTATCTTAGGTCCGAGAGGTTTACGTCACGATTTGCTAAGTTTGGAAACCTGGAGAAGATATTTATTGATATATGATGATTCTTTTGTTGGACAGTTAGGGGGGGGGGATGCTCTAGTTACCTCGCAAGACCCCGTGGGGTACAGTCACGCAACAGCGGGGGACAACCTCACACCGTCGAAGGTGGCATATGGTCCAGCATACGGTCCTTAAAGATGACAGCGGGTGATACACCACCAGACGAAGATACCACCGGCGGACTCAAATTATTCGGGGGACAGCAGTCACCCCACCGTAGCGAGGTCTTCTGGGAGGGGCTATTCCTTGTCCTAAACGCGAGGCCGCCCATGGGCGCTGATGGCCATTGATTTTTGCCCAACTTATTGGACCCGCTGCTACCGCGATTTGACGATTTATATGATATTTTATTGTATTATGATAATCCCGACAACTACCTGGTTATCTGTCAAGAAGATTATGTCCAACATAAAGTAAAGCTACCCAATTCGTTGGATGGCTGATGATTGATCATGACCTAACCAGAGTTTAACTCAACATCAACCACCAATTGGATACTAACGCCACTAGCTAGACTAATTGGAAAATGTTACTTACTTATGAACCAGGTGAAGCGCTTTAGCTTATCACGAAGCCGCGACGACCTTAGACATCACACACAACAACAACAAAAAAAATTTCCCTCACCAATTCGTTGACACCACAATCTTGAATTTACCACAATAACTTAAAACAACAACCAAATAGAGTGTGTAATTATCTGAAAACCGTGATCGTCGCCGGTCGTCGGAGCGACGTGATTTTTAGGTGACTAACGTCGCGGCGACCTCCCCGCACTGAAGGCACTTGATGTTACGTAGGCGAAAACCTACCGGATCCTACTCTTACAGCGACGGCTCCTCGATAGGGGAAGCCACCTTGGACAGGGGTAGTATCGATTTTTAGACTCCCCACTCAAACCGGGAGATACCTTTACCCCTTAAGTGGCTCCCCACGCAAGGTCTGCCAGTGACGTCACTAGCTCGGGGGTGCGTCCTCGATAGATCCCCTCTCTGGAGGTCGTCCAGGACCTGGACAAAACAGTCAAGCGTAGGCGTGGACTCGAAACGTTTTTTATCTTTTTGCGAAGGGGTTAGCGTTTGCGCGGACCCCTTTGTTAGTCATGCCAAGGTAAGGATGGATTGCTATTGTTTAACGATTGTGCTGACGTCTGGGGCCCTCGTTCGATACTAATGATAACTAAAGATCCTTTTGCTGAATAGAAAGAACGATTTATTTGAACTTGCCACTCACGGTTCGTTCATTAGTCACAATTCCTCTTCAAAAGAGTCCTTAGAGATATGCGTTACACGAGATTTCTAGATTGCTGTTACCAAGTCAAGTGATGGAACCGCAATGGGAATCATCAAGGGCTCTTCCAGTTAGGCTATCTGAGACATCTTCTATGTTTAATAGTAAACTTCTGTTAGAAAAATAACAATTGAAACCTTATATTGGGCGCCAATTTCAAAATTGTCATCAATAAGCTTTTTGTGGTTCAAAAAATTCATCAAAATTATATTCAGTAGCTTCCAAATCGATGAATAAGTCTTATTAGTAGATAGTTTGCTACCAAGTGGTCATTAGAAACGGCTTTAAGGGATCTTTTTGTGTCTTAACATGACTTATATCTTTGATCACTACTTTCCAGGTCTCCTTCAGGAGCAGTTTTGGTTGGACCAGATCTAAGTACATTGCAATGGAATATCGAAGTTGATGATTCTTGGCTTGTAGCTTCTAGGATCTTGTTCTATTCTTAATCCTCCAGAAGGAGAATGGTAATGAGCAATCTGAAGGTTCAACCACGGCAAGGTGGAATTCGATTAATAAACAACAAAGTTATCATGCTCAACGGAGGAACCGGTAATTTAAAATTGAATTATGAAAGTGGTTAAGATGCTGCTGCTAGCTTGGAATATCTTTCTGGGGTATGGAATTGCTCTTTCACCGGAAGTTTCTGGCTCACGGTGTCATTCGGTCAATGAGCAGTACCAAAAAAGTCACTTTTAAGGCAAGTTTTTGGTGAATTTTTTGAAGAATTCCATAAAATAGCAGACCAGAAATTTGCAAGGGATGTAAAAGTCAATGGGAAGTCTGGGGATAATTATTTCCAGTGTCAAGAAGTCAAGTTCACTTGTACGTGAACTGAAAAATAATTATTGACACGTGTCAGGTGAAGCACCCTCACAATCATAATCGTGAAATCCGGCACGTGCGTATCCAGATACCGTCGGTTATAGTTGTTGTTTAGTGTTGTTCTTCTTCACTGATGCGTGATGATTGTAGCGTGCCTACTGAGTGACCTAGTGATATTCAGATGGAGGGTCGCGTCCTCGGTATGACAATGACAATGTCGTTAAACTATTACTCTATTAGACTCTAATTGCTGGTGAATTGAAAAAATTAAAAAAAAAAAAAAAAAAAAAAAACGGTGGCTATTAATAAATCATCAATTTATTTGGGTAGTACAATTACATGTTGAAAATTTTTTTAGGAAATGGTATAAATATGTACTTCAAAAATAGTCTTTAGAGGCCTTCGGGGTGCTTTATCCAGCATGAAATACAGCCTTGACCAGCACCGCCGATGCTTGATTCGCATTTTCTTGCCTCCTGTAAAAATTGATTAATTATTTTAGATTTTAGATTATGCTGGTTTTATTTTAATACATTACTGTTATTATTGTTTGTATTTGTTAATATCGTTATCAGTATATGTAAATTATTAACACGATGAATATCGTTAGAAATTTAAATATCACGAATATAATTAATATCAATATTTATATGGTCATCAATGCCAATAAAAACTTCAAAAATATTTTTATCAATATATATTATTTTCTACATCAATATCTTGAATATCATTTTTTATTTCAATATCATGAATATCATTATCAATGTAATTATCATGAATATCATTACGAATATCGATAAAAATATCATGAATATCACTATTAATATGATGAATATTCATTGATATTTACATTAATATCGTAAATATCAGTATCGATGTAAATATCATAAATATCGTTATCAATATCACTAGCAAAATCAAAAATATCACCATCAATATTAATGCAATGCATATTTTTTTTAACATCAATATTTTGAATATCACTTATGAAAACAATATCATGAGTATCATTAAAAATATCAATAAAAATATCATTGTCAATATGATTAAAAATATCATAAATATATCATTCTATCTTTATTGATATTTACATTAATATCATGAATATCATTATCAATATCAATATCATGAATATCAGTATCAATATGATTAAAAATATTACGAATATTTCATTCCGACTATCTTTATTGATATTCACATCAATATCGTAAATATCGTTATGAATATCAATATGATGAACATAATTATCAATATCGATAAAAATATCATGAATATCACTATTAAAATCAATACGACTATCATGAATATCATTGCCAATATCACTAAAAATATAATGAATATCACTATCGACATCAATATCATAAAAATCAATATGACAGACATTATTATTATTATTATTATTATTATTATTATTATTTGTTGCATATAAATACCTTATTATATTTGTACCCCGAGGGACATTCTTTGACGATTGAACGTCCTGTAGAACATGAGACATACTTAGTGCAATCCAGTGGGTGCGTTCGGTTTCTATGATCATCTTTGGGACAAGCCGGAATTTGACAGTCCGGATGACGGCTGTGATCTTCTTCAATATGCGCATACGCAATTGCAATCACCAGAGTGAATGTCAATAACAGCTTCATATTTAGACTGAAAATCGATTTATATTTTACAAATGTATAGTCTTGTTTGTATTTCTTTGGTAATTCGTAAAAATTAAGTTTAATTACGAGTAATTGCTAAAGCAATAAGTTCACTTCTGAATGAAAGATAAATACGAGCAAGTCTTTTATATCTGTCGTAACCTCAGTTGTTATAAAAATGATCGTTATCTAGTTTACTGTGAGACTTAAAATTATTAAAATAGTAATTCGATGATATCTTAAGAGCTATATTTAAATACTGTTCTATTTATTTTAATTATCTTTTATTTCATTTACACCGGAAGGAATTCATAAAATTTAATCTCATCAATGACTCTAGGCTTCAAGGTTTTTCCTTCTATTGTTGAGATAGGTCGTCAGTGTAAAAACATTTTTTATAAGAAATTTTGTAAGCTGATATTTTAATTTTTTTTATTTTTGAAATTGATAAAAAATATTTTCAAAATTTTTTTTCTAAAATCGGTTCTAGAGAAATAAATTTAAAAAATCCTCAATATTATTTTTCCTTGAGAAAAAGTCCACGTCAAAATAAAAAGCAGTATTAGAGCAGGATAAATTGAATAAAATAAGAGCAGATCAATTTCTTCTTCTTAAAATAAAATTATCATCATTGATCTTTATTAAATAAAAAAACACCAACGTCACAAGTCCTCCCAAGAGGAGTCATCAATGTAGGTCAAGATTCAGCTAACACTTGACCTTTTTAACGTTTAAGCCGAAACTCAAAGACTGCTATCGCGATTTTTCTTATTATTCTTTGCTTTAGTTTTAGTTTCAAGATTTAGTTATTCTTCAGCTATTAATCCATGACTCTTAACTTTGTTAACTCTCGAGTCAGCTTATCCTAGCTGTTTTATCCTCTCCTCTCCACTTTTCTGCCCACACGACTTAAATTTATTATATTAAATTGATAAAAGTCCTTCAGGCCAAAGTAAATAAAATTTAAAAATTCAACCCAATTAACTTTATTATTTAAATCATTCGAGTATTGCCTTTCCTATTATATCAAATCACAATAATTTTATAAATGAGAAACAAAATTATTCTATTTTCAAAAATATAATTTTATATTTTATTACATTTTTATTTTAGTAGAAATTTTCACTGGATGTGAGTAAGGAAGTTAGTTTCTTTATCCTATCCGGGTAACATAAACTATGTTGGTAATTTATCTAAGGCTGGTATGGTAAGATGGTAAGATATAAATATTATAAGTCGATAAAATGGCTGTATTACAGGTCTACTCATAAAATCGGTGACACGACAAAATCTCCCCGAACAAAATCTAATTTTAAGGAGGTCCTTTCGCCGCCAATTTACAATAAAAAATATTAGATTATGAGTAAATTCAATTTTTTTCTAATAGTTAAGGTCTTTATTTATCTAATAGTGAGGTTTAAATTATACTTTACCGGACAAATTTTTGAAAAAATTAAATTTTTAAATGTTAGTATTTGTTCAGAGTCTTACGAGAAAGTCAGACGTTTGCAGTATTTCTCGAATTATATACTATCAGTCATGGATTAGATGAAGTAAAAAAAAACTAAAAATTAGATTTTCGAAATATTCAGGTTTCTTTTTTTGCAATAAAATATATCAGTTACCGAGATATTTATTGAGAAATTAATTTTTAATAATTACAAAAAATTCTCAAGTAACCTAAGTTAAAATGGAGTCAAAACATTTGGCAACGTTGCGTAGCGCGCGAGCTTCAGATCATTCAATAAATTCAAACTAATTTTAAATTACATCGAAAATGTAAACAACCGAAGTACAGCGTTGCCAAATCACGGACAGGTTACTAGCAGTTGATTTGAAAGAGTCAAATTAATTTTTTTATTTAACTATTTTTTTTTTTTTTATTTTCAAAATTTCAACGATTGATGCCTCATATACTATTTATTATTTAATTTTACGAATTTTTATGGGTTTCTTTTTTTAATTTATCGTATATTGACTACTACAATTGTTTTGACTCAACTGGAGCAAAAGGATTTCCTTAAATAATTTTAAATAATAATATTTATTATACACAAAAAATCATGATAAAAGGGCACAACGAGATTTTGAAGCGTATTTTGTCGGGGAGATTTCGTGGTGCAGCCAGTAAAGATTTAAATGAATAAAGTTGTGACTGAATGAAGATGATTTTGAATAAAAATGTTATTGAATGCAGATGTCGTTGATGGCTGTGAAACGAGATTTTATGGTTACTCAAATTCAACAGTAGTCAATTACAACTTTGCTAAGTTTAAATTGTATTCATTTTCAAGTCTATTCATTGAATTTTTCATTCAGGTTCATCTCTACTCACGAATTTTTACATTATCAATTAACCATAAATTTTTTTTGTTTCTACAATAAGAATTTCTCAATAGTAATTTATCCATTGAAAATTTCTATAAATTGGTTTATAAAAAGTTATTTCAATTAAACGTACTAATGATAATTGCCTAAAAATAATAGTTTATTTTTTATAACTTTTTAACATCCGGATTCATAGATAAGACTTAAAAAACTAAATATACATTTTAAAAATTTTCTTTCATGTTATAAAAGTCAAAATTTTTGAAAAGTATATTTAACATTTACAAAGTTGAATTTTAAATAAAATTTTTTGGAACATTTATTAGTAATTTGGCATGTAAGACTTATTGAAGCTCATTAAAAATTATATTACAATAATGTTGAAGAATAATAAAAAATTTGGTATAATGTATACTTACGTAGAAGATTTGTATAGTTTAAGGTGGCGATCTGCTCAAATAGACAGCTGTCACTTTAATGACCAACTTATTTTCAACTACGACTATTTATACCCGATTGTTATAAAGTTCCAGTTGAAATTACTCATCGACAAAAAAAGAAATAAAAAATATATAAAGATAATTACGGTTCGAAGGTCAAGTATTTAAAAACTCATGAGTAATGAACCAGAGTTAGAAATTTTATAAAAAAAAAAAAAGAAGAAAATAAAAATCCAGAAAATTTTTTAAAACGGCAAATATTTTTTATTAGACTTTAAAGTATCTAAAGTCCGTAAAAATTTCCTGTAGTCCATTAGATAATTGTTATTGCGTTGAACGATGAAGCACTTGTATAAAGTATTTAATTCCCTGGGATTTAGTAAGTGCAATAAATTACGGACTGATAATACTTTTATCAATTGTTCTTTATCGACAGTTCCACTGTTGCATTTATCGAAATCCTATTAATAAGAAAAAAACAGATAATTTTTCATTGCAAAGAAAATTGAAACAGAAATTATGATGGATTCTTTCCGAATCAATAGACACAATGATTAATGGGGGACATACCTTGAAAAGATCTTCCAAATTCGGATTGTACTCTGTGATTAGCCGATCTAAGACCCTTGCAATTACAAGACGTTCTTCGTAATTGAGAAATGACTTTGGACAAGATTCTGAGGGTATGTGTTGCAAAGGAAAGAGCAATGGAGATTTTTCTAGAAAGCCAATTGTTATTGCTTCTTCGATTGTGTTACTAAATCTTACATAATCGACGTAATCTGGCCTATTAATAAATATATGTTTTTTATGATTTAATAATTATAATAATAATGATGATGATATTAATGAATGTGATATTCATCATGACATTGATGATGAGATTATGATAGTGATATTAATCACAACATTAACAATGATATTTATCACAGTGATATTCATCATGACATTGATGATGATATTATAATGATGATATTCATTATGAATTTGATAATGATTTTAATAATTATAGTATTGATGATAGGGATATTCATCATGACGGTAACAATGATATTTATCGTAGTGATATTCATCATGATATTATGATAATGATATTAATTATGATATTGATGATGATAATAATATTGATGATAAGGATATTGATCACATCATTAACAATGATATTTATCAGAGTGATATTCATCATGACATTAATGATGATATTATTATAATGATATTTATTATGTGAAATTGATAATGATCTTGATAATTATAATATGGATGATAAGGATATTTATCATGAAAATAATAGTATTATTTATGATCATGATATTCATAATGACTTTTCTGATTAAAGTATTGGTGATGATGTCAATCATGACATTGATGATAACACGATAATGGTGATATTTATCATGACATTCATTTTGAAGTTGACAATAATAATATTGATGATAGTGATATTTATCATGACATCAATAGTAATATTGATAATACGAATATTTATCATGACATCAATAGTAATATTGATAATACGAATATTTATCATGTCATTAACAATAATATTAATTACAGTGATATTCATTACTTTAACATTAATAGTAACATTAATAATAATAATAACAATAATAATAATAATAATAATAATAATAAAAACCTCAAAGGTGATTTGAAATGATCAATCAAGGTATCGAGTTCATAAAGATTCAAATTGCACTTTAATTGATCAAGACTTCTTATAAAATTGCTACGTGTTATCACCTGCTCATTTCGAGGATCGTGTTGTCGGAAAAACTCTAAAACCTATTAATTAAAAAAATAACACCAATTTGGGAACGATTCCATTAACTTCGATAGCTGAGATATTACAAAGCTTCGAAACAAATAAATAGTGTATTAGTATTGATTTTTAACCACTTTTAGACATTACCATAATCCGTTCTCTAACTACTTTTGCTTTTATTTTAGCGATAATTTGGACGATATCTTTATCATCAACCGACGGGTCTGTTTTTGGTGATTCTAAATTAAGATGCTTCATTTCTTCAAGCATTTTTCCATACAATGGGGCTTCTACGATTTTTGAATCCAAGTCTTTTAAAAAGTATGCGTAGTTAAATCCCAGTTCGTCGTTGTATCTTAATTAGAATTAATTATTATCAAAGTAATTATAATTGTTGCTGTTGTATTACCTTTGTTCAAGTGCAAAAATTTCTTCAGGCGACACAAGGATCGTTGCTACAGTTAAAACTTGCCTCAACTGATTTCTTGAAACGTACCCATGATTTAGCCTTCAAAATATCAAAAATTAACAATCAAACTATCCAAACAGATAATTAATCTTTGAATAGACATACTTATCATAATCATTAAAAAACTGTTTTAAATAGATCTGCCTATGTTGAATTTTTCTCCGTATTTTCATCAAAGTTTCTTCACACAAATCCCTTGCTTCAGAACTAACAACCTGCCAATTTTTTGCCCCACGCTCTGGCAACTCTTCAATCTCCAGTGGCGGAAAATTAACTTGTAGCAACGGTAATTTCTCCAGCTCATTAATTGTAAACACGTGATTGACATCGTCTTCGAACACGCGCCAAAGAACACGACTGGGATCGTTTGGATCCGAGTACTGGATGATCAAATTTTTAATCTCGTTTTCGGACAAGTAAAAGCCACCAGAAGATTTCAGGAGTGAGTCCAGCCCACGATGAAATTGCGAATTAGTTAATCTACCGGAATTGAAAACATCGAAGTGCTGAAAAATTAACAACGAGTTTATTTTTTTCGTTTTCAGTTTTAATATTCTCAATTGTTACTTGAAAAAATTCGCGAACTCGCAGCCGACGTTCAAGAACCTTTTTTTGAATTCTCATCATAGTTTCCTGTACGGACATACTCTGTTTTTGTTTTTCAAACACCGGGTGGAAAATTGATTGCCTGCCAAATATTTCATGTGGGTTTTTAACACCGATTTCTGGACGGGGTAATTTTGGCAGCTCTGCTGTGATTATTCTTCCGGGAAATTGGTCCATTAGTTCCTAAAAATTCCAACATCATATTTTGTCACATGTAATTATTATACCAACAAATTATATGATGTTGTGCATGAACTTTATTAGTTGTACATGATATCATAATCGAATGTGACTGAAATGGTCATATTTAACATCATGGTGACCATATGTTCCATCATGTAACATATTATATGACTAAAAAATTCATCTGACACCATATATGATCATTGTTTGACATCATCTATAAGCTTATATGATACGTGACATCACATGTGACTTAAAAATTTTTTATTTTTTTTCGCTTTTATATAGTAACAAACATTTCGATTAGTGATAACATATCAATTGAAAGGAGCGATTTCACTTAAATGGTCAACAGAAACTAAATTTTAAAAAAATTGCTTATATTAGAAAAGGAAAAAAAAATGGCAAATATTGTCGTAGATTTCGTGGGGTTTCATTTTCAAGGCCAGTATATAATAAAAGAGTTTGCCGTAGCTCAAATATTAGATAAATCAATTGAAGTTGAGGATCAGATTTTGGTAGACACAACGGTACTATCAATTGACTCTGACGCGCTTCTCCATAGTGATGAATTCAAGATATTTTTCAACAAAAGCCATATCCCATTGGGTAAAAGAAATAATCACACTCGCGAAGACATAAGAGCGAAAATGAAGAGCCTCCGCCGCCACAATATTTACTTGCGCGATAACATACACGCTTTATTTCTGGCTAAATATTTGAACGTATGCCCTAAGTCTTTTAAGTTATTAACCAACTTTCAAGATTTCGATAGCAATGATCGGATAATGAAGACAAACTGCGTGAATCATCTAAGCAGAAAAAGCTACTGCGTTAAAATCAACGTGATTAACATGGCAGAGTGGTTGAAGAACGAATTGAAGAAATCCTCAAGATCGAAAGAAAGACTCGCGGTTATTAATTTCACTGGATACTATGAGGACCCCAATGAACGTGATAGATTCGCAATCACAAACTTACGAGTGTACTGTTTTGATAACAATGGTACGATTATTTCGGATAAACTCATCGCCCCTATCATTCCAAATAATATTTTTAATCCAATTGAAGATGAATTGGACAGTTATCTGATGCGTCACCGTGAAAAATATGGAGTTGATTATAGTGTCGCGAATGTAATGACTATGGCGATAAAAAGCCAATTGAATAAAATTCTACTGAATAACAAGATAGAATTTATCTTTGTTAAGAATTCCTTACAGAAAAGGTTGTTGCGGAGAATACTCGATTCATCGCTTAATGTAATTGCATTAACAGATTACGGTTATGCAAAAGATACAAATTGGAGTGATAGTCCTGATAAAGGGATCGAAGACATGGTGAAATTTGTGCTTCGGAAAAATATTTATACGTTTATCAGGCCGCAAAATGAAGTTCGAGATCGCTGATAGCGAATCGACCGGTTTAAGTGATTATAGAGCCTGGTTATAGACATTTAATTGCTGATATTTGAAAAATTGTTTGAAACTGTAATTTTTTAAGATAAGAGAATTGTTATTTACTATAGTGAAAGCTATTAATCACTTATTTTTGATATTAAATTATAAATTGTGGCTTTTACACTTTTTACATGAAGTTCTGTAATATTTATACTGCAGAGATCATAAAAGAAATCGATAATCACTTAGGCTTGTTTTATAAATTTTTTATTTATTTTCGCTTTTATATAGTAACAAGCTTTTCGATTAGTAACAACTTATCGCGCAAAAGAAGCGATTTCACTTAGATCGTCAACAAAAACTAAATCGAAAGAAAATGGAAAATATTGTCGTAGATTTCGTGGGGATTTATTTCAGAGGCGATTATATAATAAAAGAATTCGCCGTAGCTCGAATATCAGATAAATCAATCGAAGTCGAAGATCAGATTTTGATAGACACAACGGCGCTACCAATTGACACTGACGCTCTCTTCAATAGTAAAGATTTTCGGAAATTTTTCATGTTTAGCTATATTCCATGGGGTAAAAGAAGTAATCACACTCGCGAAGATATAATAGCAAAAATGGAGAGCCTCCGTCACCACAACATTTACCTGCGCAAAAGCACACACGCTTTATTTCTGGCTAAATATTTGAACGTAAGCCCTGACTCTTTTAAGTTATATTAACCAGCTTTCAAAATTACGATCGCAGTGATCGGATAATGAAGACACACTGCGTGAATCATCTAAACAGAAATAGCTACTGCGCTAAAAACAACGTGATGAACATGGCAGAGTGGTTGAAGGACGAATTGGAGAAATCCTCAAGATCGAAAGAAAGACTCGCGGTTATTAATTTCACTGGACAATATGAGAATCCTGATGATGAAAGCGATAATTTTGTAATAACAAAATTACGAGTTTACTGTTTTGATAACACCGGTACGATCATTTCGAATAAACTCATCGCTCCCATCTTTATAAATAATGTCAATAATGCAACTGAAGATGAATTGGACAGTCATCTGATCCGTTACCGTCAAAAGTATGGAGTTGATTGGACTGACGGGAATTTAATGACTTTGGCAGTAAAAAGCCAATTGAATAAAATTTTACTGAATAACAAGATAGAATTTATCTTTGTTAAGAACTACTTACAGAAAAGTGTCTTGCATAGATTACTCGATTCATCGCTTAATATAATTCCATTAATAGATTACGGTTACCTAGAAGAAGAAAATCAGACTGATAATCCAGATCGAGGGGTCAAAGAGATGGTCGATTTGGTGCTTCGGAAAAAAATTTATGAGACTATCAGGCAGCAAAATGAAGTCGAGACCTCCGATAACGAATCGACCGATTCAAGTGATAGCTTGAATATTTTTTTTGTCTGATCTATACACACTCTCCCTATTTTCAAGTATATTTCTTGAATTTTTTTAAGTTCACCCTACAACAAGAATATTCACACTTGATTAATAAAAAATTTTATTTTGACACGGAAATATATGTTCGAATACTTTTTTAAGAATAAAGAATATCAGATTGTTTTTTTAAAGTATCAACAAGAAAGAAATCAGATTTAATGAAAAAAAAAATGGAAATTATGGTAAAATTTGTAAAATCTAATAGTACACGACTCGCCATTAACCTCTCTGCTTCGCATCATATGTCGTTAAATTCAACTTGACAAAATAAATATTGTCAAGTAATAAAACAGATTTTTCCTTCCTAAACTAGTAAAATTTACTCACCCCAGAAACATTGAGCATTCCATTGCCTTCCAACCAGGCTGTCGCTTCATCTACGGCCTGAACAAACCCTACATAATTGATAGTGTAACCATCCTTGGCGAACTTTTTAACCACTAATTTGAACTCTTCTCCTGCTAATACTATTCCTAGATGGTTCAATATTCTTCCAAAATGCGCTACAGTAACTGTTCCTTCATTTTTGGCAATCTTATAAGTATAATTACACAAAAAAAAAAAAAAAAAATTAACTTGAATCAAGAGAAAAATTCTTAAACCAAGAAAATAATTTTGAAGAGTTTCATTGTCTTGGATGAAGACAAAAAATTTTTTAATCAAATAAAATTTACTTAAACCATGAAAAATTTCTTAGTTTAAGAATTTTTTTACTCAAATCAAGAAAGTGAAATTCTTTAAAATTATTTGCTTTGTGTTTCTACGGGTTGAAATTTCTTCATAAAAAAAAATTAATATATCATGTGGATATAGCTCAAAATATATTCAAATGGGCATATATATATCTATATATATGTCTAAAATATACGAAACCTTGAGATGGATAAAATTTTCTTCAATTGGAAGGTATATAGTTTGAGGCAACTTTTTGGTAGCGAGAAATTTTTGCAACCCGGCGCCACCTATTGAGAACTTTTGGTACTAATATATAAATGAATAGATTTGCCCACTTGCATATATTCCTATCATATATATTTCATATATTTTTTTTGTTGGAAGAGCTTGTAACTCACCAGCTCATAATCTTGAAAATACGGCCGCAATACCAAATTTCTTTTGTTAACATTAACTGCAATTTGTGTGATTATCAGATTCAATCTCCGCGACTCATTTTCGCTCAATCGATTGCAGTGCAAAGGGTCCTCCCACTCCAATCCAGTAACCAATGGTTTCTGACTAAATTCTGGCGCTAAATTTAAAGAAATAAAAATCAACCCTTACATTTATGCTTGTAAATTAATAACAATAATTTTTTATTAGAAATAAAATTGTACACCTTTGTCGTGGATAACTTCGCAGAATTGGGAGTAATAAATTCTGCCATTGGACGTTTGGAAGTAGTCACTTAATTCAGTGATTTCAATGTTTGACAACCCTAGTGTGTTTTTTAAGCGACCGGACAATACAGCAATGAATTTAGTCTCTGAAAAATTTATTTTCATCATTTTGGATTAAGCTTTCTATACACATTACATACAAGGAAATTAGAATATTAGTTCTAGAATTCGATTAACTGCTGCCGTATTTCATATCAGTAACCTAGTTTTTTTTTTTTAAATTAATTTTTAATAAAATTTACAATGATACGTACAAAAACAAAACAACTTATTTTCTTATTTCTCTTACGTGAAAACTATGGCGCCACTTGATCAAGTTAAAATGAGATCAACCAATCATATCACTAGATTTTTTAGACTGCCTGCGCACATGATAAGAAAAATGGGCGCCAATAATTCAAAAGAAAAATGATAAAATACTCTGTGAGAAATTACATGATAATTTTTTTTCTTTTAAAAATCAATTATATAATATATTTTTTTCTTAAAAAATAAATGAGCGTCATGAGGCGTGCACTTTTGGATTTTCCTAACTTTTTTTTTTTTCAACAGAAATTATTACGCCAGTAAAAAATTTCTGATTAACATTTATATAGTCTAACCTAACATTTTAAAAGTTCAAATTGTTTCTTATTTTTTGGCCGATAATTTTTTTTTTTTTTTCATAAATATAAAAAATTTTTCATATTTTACCTGATACAAGATTTGTATTGTTAGGATCCAAGGGATGAAAATATTCCCACAAATTTATGTTGATCCGAAAAACTACGGCGCGAATTTTGTTAAGAATTCGCCAGATATTTGTTAGTTTCAACTGTTGATTAAATTAATTAGTAAAGTAGATTAATTTTTGAAGAAAAACTATTTTTTCAAGTACCTCGGATGATTTACAAGCCATTAATTAAATTTAACTGACAATTTAAGATACTTTTTTTTTTTTTTTAATAAAAACTTTATTTTTTTTTAGTTAAACACTGAAATTTTTTGTTGGTTAAAAACAATCTCCAAATTTATCGTCTTTTGTCAAAAGAGAGACAGAACAAAAGTGACTTTTGTTACGTAAAAAGAAAATAAAAAAAAAAATAATAGAAGCTTAAAAATGTGAGTCAGGTCATGCCTTGAGGTGAAGACTTAATTTAACGTTGCGCAACAATAGCCAAAGGCTATCTTCTGAATTATTATATCCAGACACAATCTCTAACAAAATATAAATATTATCCTTGCACAAGGACTATGCCGACGTAATGTTTGCTCACCTTAAATCAACAGATTTACTTTTTAGATAAATATAAAAATTAATGATTCATTCTCAGATATTTTACAAAATAGCTAAACAATATTTATAATTTTTAATTCTGTTTAAATGTAAAATTGTAACAAATAGAAAATGAAAGTGTTTGTAGTAAATGATCGCAAATAATGAATAATAAATAAATAAAAAAAAAAAAAAAAAAAAAACATTGCGGATGTAATTTTCATCAGATATGCCAGCTACCAATTTATGTCATGCACTGCAACGCATGCATCAACAGCAACAAGCTCAAGGCGTTCTCCACGGGTAAATACTAACTCACGAGACAACTATGACACTTGGCTCTGATCTATAACATATTATGTTGCAGTGGATTTATTTTTTCACTGCCGCCATTCCTTCTATTATTTCGCGGGGTATAAATACCTCCGTCACGGTCTAATGCACAGAGTACTTACTCACCCTTTTGAGATAACAGTGCTTTCAGGTTGTACGGTAGCATGTTTAAGGTAAGGCTTATTTTTTTGTCTTTATGAGGTGGTGATCAGGGTGAAATTGTGAGATTATTCATTAGGGTTTGATTCTAAAGAGTTTAAGTATCCGCATGAAAATTTTGAAAATTCAAAAATTTTTTAAATCCCAAAACTACTTTTGACAAATAATTTGATGAATTTATTAATCAAAATAATAAAATCATCTTATAAAAACTCCAAGAAAAAATTTTTTTAATTTTCAATTACTTCAATCAACTAATTTGGTAAAAATTTTTAATTATTTGTATCAATTATATTAGTAAAAATTTTCTTTTGACTAGTTTGAATATTCTCCCGTACAAAAATGGATTGATCACTCATTGATCAACAACTCATCGTTAATTGATCAATAATTGATCGGTCAGTAATCAACCACAGATAAATAAGAGATCACTTAAAGATCAATAACTGATCACACTGAGGAGAATAATCTGATGGTAATCAATTAGAGATCAGTTAGAGATCACCCGGCGATCAATCAGCGACAATCTATAGATCACTCGGAGATATTATAGAAATTGTCCAGTGATGGGATAAAAATTGCTTGATACTGAAAATAAAATTTATTTAAAGTATTCTTGATAATATTTTTCATTACAGCTATTACTTTTGTATTCATTTATGATATTTATAGTTATATATTCAGTAATGATTACTTTATAAAGGGACAATTCTTTCTTGATAATTAAATGGCCACTGTGTGATTTTCATTTAAACACTGGACGATTTTTATGTGATTTCCAAATGATCTATAGGTTGTCGTTGATTGATCACCGGGTGATCTCCAACTGATCACTGATTGATCACCATCAGATTATTCTTCTCAGAGTGATCAGTTATTGATCTTTAAGTGATCTATGGTTGATTACTGACTGATCAATTATTGATCAACTAACGATGAGTTGTTGATCAATCCGTGATCAATGATTGATCAGTCAGTGATCAATCCATTTTTGTACGGGCTTAATAAGCTGCACTTTTTTATTTCCACCAAAAGACCGCTCGGTTAAAATAATCCCTGTATATTACCTTGACAGATAATTCTTCTGGGGTCATTGTTGGCGTGTGCAAACGCTTACTACAACCATGGAGCAGGATTCGCGGACAACTACTACTACGGTCACTACGGGCCGGTTCCAGGAGCGCATCCAGTGGCTCCAGTAGCTCCTCTGTACAATGACCTTACGGGAGTGGCTCCTTACGTGCCTAAAACAGTGGCTCAGCCGATCGTGGATCCCCTCCCGACAGCCAACAGACACAGATTCCATCTTAATCACCTCAATCTGAACCACGGATACTACCACGCTGGAGTTCACCCGCCATCACCATCACCTACACCAGCACCCACCCCGGCTTACGTCCCCCCTCCAGTGGTCGTTCCTCCTTCTGTTACTTACAACAACAACGTCGTTCCCCCCTCAGTGCAAAATCTCAATCACGCTGCTCCTGCTCCAGCTTCGGCACTCGGTCCAGCTAATTATCACCACCATGCTCTTAATTACCAACACCGCCCCTACGCACCCATTTACACACACGGTCACATGCACAACCATGTGAATTACGGGTGGTAAAAATGTCAGCCGCAAATTTCAATTTATTTCATTTTTTAAACTAATTTTTAGTTATTAATTATTAAATACTTAAGATTGTACTAAATTTATATAACAAGCACCTTAAAATAAAGTACGTGGTATCTTTATTAACCATAATGGTATTTTAATTTTTTGCACGCCTTATAAGCGAAGCGTTGAGGTAGATATTAGAGTTTTATATCATTTTCTGATATTCTATGAAAATTATAAACATTACTAAAATGCTATAAAAATTTATGAAAAATCGTATCAAAATAAATAAAATCAACAGCGACGTAATAAGTGTTGATTTTATTTCACTAAATCTGCGATTCATAATAAGAGTTATTATTATTAACTCAGCGTAATATCCAAATTTCCAATTAATATTTCACTGATCAGATACGACAAAACACTCACCAAGAATCTGAACTATAATATTTGGACATTATTGGAATAAAATAGATTATCTAAATGTAGAACAGATAAAAACGCCTCGGGGGTCCGCGGTTATATTTTAAAAAGGCGTGGTCCACCGTTCTATATTCCGATGAAAGTGATAAATCATGAATTAATCATTAACTTATACATGAAACTAAACAAAATAATTCGTCAATAAACTGCTCTCACTTACTTTTTAAAGCTGGTATACCTGCGGAAGATAAACATCTTTGACGTCTCCAAACATTTAGAAAAACTTTCAAATATCAAACACCAAATACCTATATCATACCGGATGGGATTATTAGTGACCGTATTATGTCATTGCACTGATACAATTTCACTCGTAATAATAAAAAGAAAGCCACATCCCCTCCCACTAGAGATCGAATACATTCAAAAATAGCCGAAACTAAAATATTAACTCTACTCTTTCGATCAAGGTTCGGGATTTCGTATAAAAAGACACCGCGATAAAAAAATTGTATCAGTAACTTTTCGGATCTGTTGACTAGACAGTTGCTAATAGAAGATTAAATACCATTTTTACGATGGCATTCAAGGTATTGTTTTATTTTTATATTCAATTTATTTAATGTCCAATTTATACTCAGTAATTTTAATATTGTGGAAAATTTTTTAATTATTTTTATACGAATTTTATTTTATTAGTTTTATTAATTGGCGGGAAAATTAAATATTGAAAATTTTTTAATTATGAAAATTTAAAATTATTCGAGATTATTCTTAAATATTGTTATAAAAAAATAATTTTTACTACGTCAAAAATTTCTTTAGAAACTTTTGAAATTTCATTATTTAAAAAATTTACAAAAAAATATATTTAATAACTATTTTATTTTATTAGTTTGACTAACAAAAAAAAATTGATAATTTTCAAAATTTGTAAAATTATTTTTAACAATTATTGCAATAAAAAATTAATTGTTAGCTATTTAAAAACTTGTTTAGAAATTTCGGAATTTTAAAAATTTGGAAAATTTTAAACTATTCTCAACGTTTTAATTATAATTTTGGTAATTAGCGTACATACTAAAAATTTTTGAAATTTTTACCCCAAAAATTTTGAAATGTCCAGATATAAAAAAGTTTTTAATTATCTTAAAAATAATCAGTTTCAATATTTATCTAAAAATTTCAAAATTTTTTCTTAAGAATTTTTTAAAATTTTTTCTTAACCAATAAAATTAACGAAAAAAAAAAAAAATTTCCAGCTAATGTTAATCTGCGCATTGTTGGCTGGCGCAAAAGCCCACAGCGTTTCAACTTCAGAGAACATTTACCGTAGCCACGGCAACTTGGCCCAAGTGTCAACAGAGAGCAAGACAGTGGAGACCCCTTACTCGAGTAGCAGCAAAACAGACGTGAGAGTGAGCAATCCGTCGGTATACGTGTCAGCAACAGCAGCGCCAGAAGTAAACGTGTCACCAGCGACGACCTTTACCAAGACAATAGTCCACCCTTACCCAGTGACTCACCATTACCAACAGAGCTACAGTGCCCCCTCTTACCAACAGAGCTACAGTGCGCCCTCCTCCTACTACTCAGCTCCAGTTGCCAAATACGAGGTTCCAGTGGTGAAATACGCCGCTCCAGTAACCAAATACGTCGCCCCAGTAGCTAAATACGCCGCTCCAGCTTACCCCGTCCCGGTTGCCCAACACGTTTACTCAGCGGCACCCTCAGTGTACGCAGCTCCATCTGTCTATCACCACGAACCGGTCTACGCTCATCAAGCTCAAGCAGCACCGGTCTACGCGGCGCCACACTACTATTCTCAGCAGGTAGCGCAACCTGTCGTCAAAGTTGCCTACTCTCCAGCTTCTGAAGTGACTCACTTCAGCTACAACAATGTCAACGACCATGTCAATTACTCTTGGTAATTTTGTGATTTAATTAGTCTAACAATAAGGTGAATGTAATTACTACTTATTAATTGTATTAATAATAATAATAATAATTATAATCAATAAAAATGTGATTTTATGAAAATTTTATACTTGTTGTTTATCATTACTTTCATTTTCATGAAAAGAACTTTGTTATTTCATTTAATTATTTGGAAAATTCAAAAGTGCACGCCTCATAACGTTCATTTTATTTTTAAAGTAAAAATATATTGTTAAAAAAAAGTATCTAAAATTGTCAGTTAAATTTAATTAATAGCTTGCAAATCGTCTGAGGTACTTGAAAATTAATCTATTTTACTAATTAATTTAATCAACAGTTGAAACTAACAAATATCTGGCGAATTCTTAACAAAATTCGCGCCGTAGTTTTTCGGATCAACATAAATTTGTGGGAATATTTTCGTCCCTTGGATCCTAACAATACAAATCTTGTATCAGGTAAAATATGAAAAATTTTTTATATTTATGAAAAAAAAAAAAAAAAATTATCGGCCAAAAAATAAGAAACAATTTGAACTTTTAAAATGTTAGGTTAGACTATATAAATGTTAATCAGAAATTTTTTACTGGCGTAATAATTTCTGTTGAAAAAAAAAAGTTAGGAAAATCCAAAAGTGCACGCCTCATGACGCTCATTTATTTTTTAAGAAAAAAATATATTATATAATTGATTTTTAAAAGAAAAAAAATTATCATGTAATTTCTCACAGAGTATTTTATCATTTTTCTTTTGAATTATTGGCGCCCATTTTTCTTATCATGTGCGCAGGCAGTCTAAAAAATCTAGTGATATGATTGGTTGATCTCATTTTAACTTGATCAAGTGGCGCCATAGTTTTTACGTGAGAGAATTAAAAAAAGTTATTTTGTTATGTTCAAAATACCTTACTTAAGATTTTTGTCCAAATCCAATGCAACTAGGAATTAATCAACTCAGAACTGTTACCAAATGTTGAAAATCAAATCTTCTTAAAGTATTCTATCATGAATTAACAACTCGCATAATAAATTTAATTGTAAATAAATAATTCTCCTAACACTTTATGTCAATCATTGCAACAAACTTTCCCTGTCTTTAGTAATCACTTTGATTCTTAAATCAGTAAGCGAAAATGACGACAGTCGTGGACTTTAATGGATACTTCGACTCACGGAACAAATTTCACATAAAAGAATACTCGCTATACTCGTTAGACGGTCATGAAAATCTAGTAAACAACACCCATGAAATTTTTAATTCTATCCAGGATTTTAAGAAGTTAGATCCTTTAACTAAACACAATTACGTCGAATATCACCAAAAGTACGGATTAGAATGGACATGTCGAACATATACGACCGGAAGGATCCAACCTGAAATCTTCAGATCTGGTATAACTTTCGTGGCTGACCAGAAGAAGGAAAAAGTGCTACATGAATACTTTAAAGATTTATCCGTAGAAAACAAATTACTTTACGACTTGATATGTCTAGAAGACATTGGCTATGATTCGGAAGCAAGTCATAGACAAAGAGCTTCATGTTCTCATCATATGAATCCCCATTCCAATTATTGCGCGAAAGACAACGGATTGGATATGATCAGATTCATCCGGTCTAACAGTTTGTTCAACATCCATGTTTTGAAGAGAATTCATGTTGCGATAGATTTCAACAACTGGAGAACTGACAGCAGTGGAATAAAAGAATTGTCGATCATTAACATTAGTCACAACGGTGCACTAGCTGAAAAGGAGTTAGAAGTTGTGATGAGGATCACCCAAACTGATAAAGACCCAATTAACTATCGTAAGTATTATCGTAAGCACGGAATAAAATGGCAATCCGGTAACAAAGATTTGGAGTCTCTTAAGGTTGATTTGGGCAGAACTCTTGACCAAGCTCTCTTTGTTTATGTAAAAAATGACACCCAGAAAGAAATATTGTGCCAAGTAAATAGAAGAGCAAGGGAGAAAATAATCTGCTTGGATAAATTTGGTTACATCTCGGAAAATTGCGAATTGGCGATAACCAAATGTATTTGGCATAATAACCAAAGCGTTAATAATTGTGCTGCAGATAATGCGAAGTTCATGGCTAATTGGTTGATTCAGAATGAATTGTACAAGAAATCTAGACGCGATTGGATGATGCGATTGCCAGTTCAGAGAGATAGTGATTTGTTTTTAGCTTCAACGCAATTTGCTAAAAGGGCGCAATACTATCAATCACTCAATCAACAATTTAAATCGCCTGTTGATGCTTTACCAATTTTGTCGTCGGAAGATGAAAAGCCTAGACTTAGTAATAATCTGAAAAGATATTATGAATCGTTTAAAGGTGCTCCGCCAAAACGTCAACGGGTAGAGAGCACTTCTACGGACAGTCAAACGGATGATGAAGATATCGATCCAGATTTCGCGGAATATTTAGATGAAAATAACCCATGGACTCTTAAATTTGATCCCGAGATATTCAGTCGTGTAACGGATGAATTACTTTTAGAAAGAGAAGAAATGGATGATAACAACAGTGATGAATTATCATTGGAGAGATTATTAACTGATGGTATAAGTAGTTCAGATGTTATGCATAACTTCGATGCAGATTTATTTGATGAATCTTTTAGATCGATGTTTTGAAACACGTAATTTGTAATAAGCCGATATTATTTATAACTATTATTTATTTTTTGAGCACAAAAGGCTTGATAGAGCTGAAAAATTTAGTTTGTGTTAATAATTATCAATCATAAACTTCCTCTGTTAATTACTAGTCTCACATTTGAAGTAATATTTCTAATAGTATCTGAAATCAATGTAATAATTCCGATCATTCAACGTCAACGTCATTAAAAGCAAAGTCCACTGATAAGTCAGTAGGACTGTTGACAAAATAGGTATCCACGAATTCTTCATAATTGGTCCTTTCGATCCAATCATCGATGAATTCTTCAATTTTTCCAATCTCGGATTCTGGGCTGCTGGGATTCACCGCTGGGAAAGTACGAGTTCTCACCAATTCTCTGACGTTTTGATCATTTTCTTGATAAATATTAACTTGGACGTCAGCACCACGTAATAAGTCACTTGACTGATCTAAATCGATGTCATAGTCCTCTAGATTATCTACCAAATTAGTGTACAGTGACTGTGGATCCAGTGACGCTACATCATGATCGAAGTTCAGCTCCAAGTCAATATCAATGGGATCAGAGTAGTTATCTCTTAACACCCCAGTTCCTTCAATTACAGTTGAGTCGAACGCGTGATTTATCATCGGTGCATCAGGATCGTCAATGTCAAGTTCGTGCTTCAAATCATGAAGATCAAGTTGATCACCATCGTCTTCTAGAAAGAGCTTCCTTGAAGTGGCTGGTGGGTCTGCTTGAATGTTTTTGGCTTCATTCAGTGAACTACGAACTCGATCTACCTTACAAGACAGTCTCTCAAAATTGCGGCGTAACCAATTTTTCATCAATTGGACACTGCGTTTAGCACAGTAATTGCTTCGAGGATTGTCATGGTAGTCACACTGAATATCTTGAAATTCATCAGGTGCATCGTAACCCAGATCATCAAGACAAATTATTTTGCCGACACAATTTGGGTTTACTTCAAATAAAATTGTTCTCTGGTTATGGTCCTTGACGTAAATGAACAAAGCGTGATCTAACATTTCACTCAAATTGTATCTCAGTTTTTCCGATTGAATATCTCCTCTTGTCCATTTAATCCCGTATTTATCGTAAAAGTCTTTATAATTTCTAAACATTTCTGATAATTTAGGAGGCTTTGTCACCATCGTTTTTGAGTCTGTCTCACGACCATTATGATCGAGGCGAATAAGTGAAAGCTCCTTCACTCCTTCAAAATTGTTTCCATATGTATTGAAATCGACAATAAGGTAAATCTGCATCAATCGATTTGTGTCGTACAGATTATTATGTTTCACAAATTTAACCATCTGCGAGACACCATCTTTCGCGCATATTTTTGATCGTCCCTTGTGTTTGCGACAGTGCCTTGTGTTTTGAAGTTTTATCTTAAAACCCAAGTTTTTCAATGGAAATATCGATACCGTGCCCGTTAATCGAGTATTTATGAAATAGTCTTTCAAATAGTCGCCAAGAAGCTTTTTTTTCTCGCAGTCATCTACAAAAATAGTGTAACACCGGTGCAAGAAGTTCCCCATAGTAGATTTTATGAACTCTTGAGATTCTCTTCCGGTTCGCCATAGTATTCCGTGGGTTGTATAATATTTGTGGTAACTTAGTCTTGCTCTTAAATCTATATTTGGCGGATTCAATAAATCTCGTTTCGCGATTCCAAATTTTTTGAGTTTCTCTAACCCGTTTTGATCTAGTAACACCAGTGTGTATTCTTTGATCACAAATTTATTATGTGAATCAATGTAACCATTGAAGTCTACAACAGCTATCATAATTTGTGATTAGTTATAATTTAGATAATAATTGTTCTATTCTAAAAGTATCGCTTTTTCAATAACAATATTTTAAACCCAATGCGGAGTAATTAATTAACTTGCTCTTGAAATTTTAGGGGAAATAATATATCTTCTGTGTAATTACCGGGGTAGTTTGATTAATTACCATTAGTTACACATAAATGATTTACCAAAAATTTGCATTCTTCAAAAATTTACCATAATGAATCACACACACCCTTTCTCTACTTGTGAAAATTCTCAATTTCTGAAGCAAGAAGCTAAAAAACGTTTGTCTAGTGCATTAATGTTACAATAGACAATTCAAACAATGTTCAATTACTGGCAAATAACCGGCGCCGTTTTGGCCATGACTCATCAGATAAGACATAATGATTGGCTCAATGATTTGAACGGCAAATTAACTAAACACCCAATACTCTTCATTAAATTAAGCAACATAAATCTCAATAACTATAGCAAGTACCTAAATCACAAAAGATATCCAATCGAATAATTATTAGAAATGAACGTAGTGATAGATTTCAACGGGTATTACAATTCCGAAAATGTATTCATCATCAGAGAATATTCTATGCACAGTATTGGCCCTGCTGGTGTAACTATGACACCCGTTTCCGGAGTTATACTCCCAGAAATGAGAGACTCAAGTAATCTGGACTCAGTAACTGCTCGAAATTTTGCAGCGTATTTCGATTATCACGGAATATTATGGAATACTGGTACAATACCTTTCACAACTGCTTTGTCTAAAATTGACTATCAATTATCAAACACTGATACGATTTTTGTAGCAGACGATGACAAAAAAAATTCATTTCGTCGCTATTTGAATCATCATACTGTTAGAACTTCAAATCACATGTATATTTGCTTAGACAAAATAGGGTACACGGAAAATTTTAAAAATCTTACTAGTTGTCCTTATCATCACAGCCCGACGTATAATTGTGCAATTGATAGAGTCGCTGATATGGTTGAATTCATTAAAAGGAACCAGATTTACAGCAAATACAAACTCAACGTCGTCCATGCTGTTGTTGACTTCAACAATTACTTGCCTACTCATCTCGGAATAAAAGAGTTGTCGATAATCCACCTGGACCATAACGGAAGCCCAGGAAAACAGAAATTGATGGTGACAAAATCACGTAGCGTAAGTCGAATAAATCAGATTGTGTATGACAATTATTATCGCAAACACGGAATTAATATTAGTAAAGGTAATAAGACAATCGGTGATCTTACAACAGCCTTGAAGAAATCGTTGAATAGAACTATGTTCATTTACGTCAAAGATGAGAATCAACTGAGAATATTGTGTGAAGTTAATCCAAACTGGGAGAGCAAAATCACCGATTTAAGCAAGTTCGGGTATGACGCAATCAGCAGGGAGTCAATGACTACGCTGTGCGATCGACATGACCCGCCTAAGACTTACAACTGCGCAGAAGACAACGCTGAACTAATGATCGATTGGTTATTGAAGACCGAAATGTACCATGTTCCCGTTCGCAAATTTCACTTTCAACGTCAGAGTTTTGCGAAGCAGCTTACTGCACTTGCCAAGTTGTCTTCTTACAATGCAATAGATCAGCAAAGTAGTAGGTTGGGGGACACTCAATTAGCGTCGACGTCCACTGCACAGACCAATAAACGGCCAGCCGAAACATCGAGTTCGAATAAACACTTTAAAACAGATGATTCAAATATTGATAGCTTACACAATCTAGATCTGTATTATCAAACTCATAGTTCGCGTCAATTTTCAACGAATCCTAATTTACAAGCTCATAGTTTGCGTCAATTTCCAAAAGGTCAATTAACTACGGATAGTGATAGTGATTGATGACAGACATTTAATTTAATGACTATACCTAATGTTAGGTTGATCTAATGCCTTTGACAAAAATTTCTGATATTTTTTTGCGTATCAGAGAATTTTTTCACGAAAGCTCTAATTATTTGTTATCGGGTCAAATTTTGTCTACCTAGATGAACCTATTTACGTCTGACAAGATTTTTTCAGAAAGACACAATATTCTGTGATCTTTTATGAGCCATTAATGGTTAATGGTTGATCTACTATTAATAGCAGATTGTTCGATCAACGAATTGCATTATAAATTCTGATGCGAATGAAACAACGTTACTGACACCGAATCCACCGCTTCCACCTGTTGGAGCTCCGTACTGAGTTGAGGGCCTCTGGGCGCCACCAAATCCTCCGTTTCCACCTGATGGAGTTCCGTACTGAGTTGAGGGCCGTTGAGCTCCACCGAATCCACTGTTTCCACCTCCTGGTGCTCCGTACTGTTGAGAAGGTCCCTGAGAACCACCTTGGTGTCCACCGTTTCCACCCTGGAACCCACCGTTTCCACCTCCTGGAGCTCCGTACTGAGTTGAGGGCCTCTGGGCGCCACCAAATCCTCCGTTTCCACCTGATGGAGGTCCGTATTGAGTTGAAGGCCGTTGAGCTCCACCGAATCCACTGTTTCCACCTCCTGGTGCTCCGTACTGTTGAGAAGGTCCCTGAGAACCACCTTGGTGTCCACCGTTTCCACCCTGGAACCCACCGTTTCCACCTCCTGGAGCTCCGTACTGAGTTGAGGGCCTCTGGGCGCCACCAAATCCTCCGTTTCCACCTGATGGAGGTCCGTATTGAGTTGAAGGCCGTTGAGCTCCACCGAATCCACTGTTTCCACCTCCTGGTGCTCCGTACTGTTGAGAAGGTCCTTGAGATCCACCCTGGTACCCACCGTTTCCACCCTGGAACCCACCGTTTCCACCTGTTGGAGCTCCGTACTGAGTTGAGGGCCTCTGGGCGCCACCAAATCCTCCGTTTCCACCTCCTGGTGCTCCGTATTGAGTCGAAGGTCTTTGGGAACCACCTTGGTATCCACCATTACCACCCTGGAACCCACCGTTTCCACCTGACGGAGGTCCGTATTGTTGAGAAGGTCTTGAAGAACCACCCGATGGGTATCCACCGCTACCACTCTGGAACCCACCGCTTCCACCAGATGATGGAGGTCCGTATTGTTGAGAAGGTCTTGAAGAACCACCTGATGGGTATCCACCACTTCCACCCTGGAACCCACTGTTTCCACTTGGAGTTCCATACTGAGTTGATGGCCTTGAAGGACCACCCGACGGGTATCCACCGCTTCCACCCTGGAACCCACCGTTTCCTCCACTTGATGGTGGTCCGTACTGGGTTGATGGTTTTTGGGAACCACCTGATGGGTATCCACCGCTTCCACCGCTACCACCCTGGAACCCATTGCTTCCACCAGATGTTGGAGCTCCGTACTGGGTTGATGGTCTTGAAGAACCACCTGATGAGTATCCACCGCTTCCACCTTGACTAAAACTGTTGGCTCCAGCAGATGCTATCGCAGTTGAACCACCGAAGGAGTTACCACCAGCAGATGGAGTTCCGTACTGGGTCGATGGTGACTGACCAAAGTTCCCACCAGCGTTTGGAGTTCCGTACTGGCTTGAAGGTGTCTGCCCTCCAAAGGTTCCTCCAGAAGATGGAGGTCCGTACTGGCTGGCTGGTTGCCCTCCAAAGGTTCCTCCAGATGTTGATCCTCCAAAGCTACTTCCGCCCAAATTTGGAGTTCCATAGCTCGTTGACGGAGGCAAGTATCCGCCAAGTGGTGCTGAAAGAACAATTGTTTTAAAATTCCGATTTAATTTATAAACTTTCACTGGTTCGTCTCATCAGTTGTTTAAGCCCGTCATTATTGTAACAACACAATTACGGTAATGAAATAATCTCGCAACAGTGAGAGTAATGAACGTGGAAAAAATAGCAAGAAACATCGGCAAAACGGCATCGCACTTTCTTACATTATTTCAGCTCGTGCCTGGTCTTCATAAACCAGGTAAGGTGAAAGTCCCAACTGTTAACTCCCGTGCTTCTTTATTTATACTTTATGCTATTGTAATAGTTAAATTAATTCTGCGAGTTTTATTACAGTAACGACCTTACACCTTTATCTTAAATCACTTTATTGTACTCTTCCTTGGTCACGATTTTTATTTATTTATTTATTTATTCTATGGTTGATCTTCTAACAGGTCTTACTTGGCCTTGATCAATGTCAATTATAAAGATTTTTGATTATTTATCTGAATTTTGTGTAGAAAAATTTTAAAATTATTTTTTTTTTTTTTTTTGACTAAGGTCTATTAAAAATTTTTTGAGTAATTTTTAATGTATTTTAATCCTTGTCAGATTTATTAAAAATTTTGGTCATTATTTACAAATGGGTCTATCTGATTTTTGGCCATATCTAGGTGAAAAATTAACATTTTCAAATTTTTATTTATTCTGCTTGTTTTTACGGCACATTTGGTTTTCAAAAATTGAAAAAAATTTTGACTTATGTTTTTGGATAAAATTTCTGTTTTTTAAGTATTTAAAAAAAATATCAATAAAATCACATAAAAATTTTGTTAAAAAAAATTAAAATTAAAAAGGTGGACCCTATTTGTAAATAATTACCATTTTTTAGTTTTTTATTATTTATCAGAATTTTAGGTAAAAAAAATCAAAATTTTTTTTTTTTGATTTGCGGTCTATTAAAAATTTTTTCAAAAATTATAAAATTTTTACTTTCTCAAAAATAATAATTAAAAAAATTGAAGCGCAAAAATAGACTTTTTTAAAATCACTTTAACTTGTAAAAAAAAAAAAATAAAAATTTTAAGAGACCCGAAGGTCGATAAAATTTAGAATAATAGATGGCGCCACTCGAAGTTTTGCCAGTAATTTTTTTTCCAAAAAAAACCCTACCACACACACGACACGTAGAATGAAGAAAAAAAAAATTTACCTTCGGAAAGAGCCGGCGCGACAATAGCGCAAGCAATTGCCGCGAAAAGCGCCCAACTGTGGTTCATTTTAAAAATTCACCCACAATAATAAAAAAAAAAAAAAAACTTTAAACTAAACGGAACTCCGTGGCTTACTAAATAATTAGTGAACAAATGTACCAACAATCCGAAGACACGATTAGCTCTAACATGATTCAAAGAACGTGTCGCGGACGTTTATATAGTTGAGGAACGTTTTGGAGAAAGTAATCGCGTATTAAAAGAACTACGGGAGGATGCTCCGACGAGTAAAATGTCTTGCAGCGCCCCCCACTCGATATATTCGGGCCGAATGTGCTCTAAGTACCAGCCGAGAGGGGGAGCGAATCTCCGTGCATCTTAAGGGGCCGGGGGACTAACTGACCCTGGCCCAAGAAATTGATCTGATTCTTTTGTTCGATAAACTTTTATTTTTATCTGTCAATTATGTCATTTTAAATGGATGTTTTGTGTGACAGTTGCGGGTATTATTTCAATAGTTATCTCATCGTGACACCATACATTTACGCTACAGCGTAATAAATAATTGTAAAATGTAAGAATATTTTTTTTCGGATATTCAATTGTGACACTTTTGACGTATTGCTGGTAGATAAATAATTTTTTTTTTTTTGACTAAACGTTTTGACTGTCGATTGAGTAATTAGATGTAATTAATTATTTACAAATGATTATCGATCGATAGTTATTCAATTTTTTAATTGTCATATTGAAATTTTAAGTACTTGTGATTAATAAGGAGTAAAAAGAAATTTTTGGCCAAAAAAAAAAAGGAATTTAATTATTTAATTTTTTAAAAATCAAAAAAAAATAATTGATAAAAAATATATTTTTTTGTAGTTATTTGGTCTAAAGAAGTTTTTAGGTTGATTTAATAGAAATCTAACAATTGTATTCATGAAGCTACTTTCTCAAAATTCCCATAAAATGTCACAGTCCCTCGGATAAGCTTAAAAAATACTTTCAAGCCATACGGTATGCATTGTAATTCCGGATATTAATGTGATACTTTTAGTTTTAGATAAGTACTTTTAGGAAAAATTATGATGAGCATAATCGATTAATTTAAAAAAAAAAAATTAGCAATATCATTGTCATTACCTATAACGCAATAAATAGTATTGTCGTTTGAAAAATCATATTTAATAATTATAAATATTACAATAGATATCATTCATTTATTACTATCACGAATATCAATATCATGATGAATATCACTATCGATATTTATAGTAATATCACTTACAAATCAATATCAAAATGAATATCATTGTCTGTATAAATTTGAATATCATTATAAATATCATTGTCATAAAAAATATCATGATGAATATCATTATCATCATGAATGTCATGATCAATATCTCTTACAAATCTATTTCATGGTGAATATCATTATAAATATCACTGTCATAAATAATATCATGAATATCATTATCATTACCAATACCATGATGAATATCATTATCATTACCAATATCATGATGAATATCATCATAAATATCACTGTAATAAAGAATATCATGAATATCATTTTCATTATCATTATCATGATGAATATCGTTATCATCAGGAATATCATTGTAATTATGATTTCGATTATTAATATCAGAGTTAATATGAATATCAATACCATGGTGAATATCAATGTCATGATTAATATCACTAATGATGTTAATATCATGATGAATATTATCATAAATATCAATGTCATGGAAATTATAATTGTCATCATCAATTTTATAATACATATCACTATCATTATCATTACCAATATCATGATGAATATCATTATCATCAAGAATATCATTCTAACTTTGATTTCGATTATTAATATCAGAATAATATCAATGTCATGGTAAATATAATTCTCATTATCAATTTTATAAAGCATATCACTATCATTATCATTATCAATGTCATGATGAATATCATTATCATCATGAATATCAATATCAATGTATTATTATTGTTATTATCATGAAAGTCACACACAATATATATGTTTCCGAGGAAAATACGTAATTTTAATTTTCTAAGTATTGTATAATACAATTAACATTCTGTCCAGTAACATTTGACCCGTACCTTGTAACATCAATCTATAAAAGTGATAGCAATTGCAACTAAATAATGACATAGTAGATGTGTTTGAACAAAGAAATCAATTAATAATATAAAAATAATGATAGCTCGCGGTTAATAATCTGTCTGAAAAACCACACGAGGTTAATTATAAAGGTAAAACCGCAGAGATTTTGCTGATGCATTCAATGAAGAAGTCATGATGATGATGATGATGATGATGATGATGATAATCATAATAATAGTGTCGGTGTTAGTTATTCTATTGAATAAAATTTTTATTTAATGTTGGCCCACATTCATACTACGGTTTTATTTGCGATTATATTAAAGCAAAGCGTAGCATAATATTGTGTGTTCGATTATGGATAGTAGTGTGTAATAGAGGATAGTGTTTGAAGGTGGGTTAGGCGATTGATTGATCATAAAAATGTACAAGTTATAACAATTCTGTCACGTGGATCACGAATCACTTTAAGACGTGACATGTTGATGGTTGTGTGTGCACCTAAGGTGGTAGTGTGTGGGGGCGCGATGCTGAAATATTAAGTATTAAGTATTAGTAATAGTTATAGAGATTATCTTTTAAAGTCAAGCGCATTCATATTATCGCTTCACACGATCGTAAAAATCCGTTCTGACGTTTAGATCACTCCGAACTCTCAGGTAGGTATAATAATAATAATAATAATAATAATAATAATAATAATAATAATAATGATAATAGAAAAAAAAATAAAAAACAAGAAGTAATAATAAAGAATAATAATACTTATAAGGAGAATAAGATGAGTTAAGATGAGAAGGCGCCCAGTATTTTATTTAAATGCTGTCTTTTATCAACGTTCACTTCTTTTGTCATTTATTAATAGCTTTTTAGTTGCTAGCTGAGGTTATGTTGGCCAAGTCGCGATCCAGAGCAACAGTGGTTCATTGTTTTCAAGATGCCCTATTACTGTTCATAAGCAGTTCAAGGTTTTTTTCTATATAGCTGAATCAGGTATCAAATCTATCAGTAGATCAATAATTATTTTGGATATCATTATCATTATCATCAATATCATGATCATTATCATCAATATCATGATCATTAATCATTATCTATATCATCATGAATATCATCATTAATAGTGATATTACGAATATCATTATCATTATCATTAAGAATATCAATATCATTAACATCTTTACCATAAGTATAATGTCATTATAAAATGTTATGTTACTCTGATGAATATCAATCAATATCGATATTGATGTCGTTACTACGAAGAATATCATCATAAATATCGATACAATGAATATCATTATCAATTGCATAATTAATATGATAATGATAATCATTAGAAGAATATCAATCATTATCAATATCAAATCATTCTGAAAAATATCATTATCATCATGAATATCAATATCATTCCAATGAATATCATTATCATTGTGAATTTCTATATCATTATCGATGATGTTCTTATCATCAATATAAATATCAATGTCATGAATATCAATATCAATATCGTCATCATGAATATTAATATCAATATCGTCATCATGAATAATCGATATCCTTCCGATGAACAACATTATCATTGTGAATTGTCAATATCATTATTGATAATATTTTTATCACCAATATAAATATCAATATCATGAATATCAATATCTTTCCAATGAATATCATTATCATCGAAAATTTCAATATCAATAACGATGATATTATTATCATCAATATTAATATCAATATCATAAATATCAATATCGTTCCAATGAATATCATTATCATGGAAAATTTCAATATCATTATCGATGATATTTTTATCATTATTAATATCAATATCATTATCATGATTATCATTGTCACAATAATAATTCTATACTGCTCTTTAAAATGACCTTGAAAAATTCTCAAGACTAAAAAGAAAGTAATTAAAATAACATAGCGAAAAAAAAAAAAAAGTAATTACAATTACAACACTGATCCAATTTACCGGGAATTTGAAGCATCCCGCCATATAATTATGACTGTTTTTCTTAAACTTTTTTTTTTTTTCGTATACGTATTGTACGGAGAGTGAATACAAGAAAAAGCGAAAGTAAAATCTGAACGTCTACGTCTGATGGCAATGTTTGATGTTGTTTGAATGTCGGTTGCAGCCACCGCGAGAAAAGAAAAAAAGAGAGAGAGAGAGATAAAGCACTGAACTGGCGATTGAGTAAGAGAGAGAGAGAGAGAGAGAGAGTGACAGACCCCCATTGTGAGGTTAGGTATAGCATCTTTGCCCCAGATAATTAATATCCGTGGTACGGTACATACACACTGGATGAAATAATACGGCGGTATACATTATAGATTAGTTATTTCGTGGCCGTAAAAGACGGGCCTATAACCTGATTGGCTGGAGATGCTGCTGTTACGGATGCTTGCCTCACGCTTTACTCACCGCGTCGGCATCATCTACACACTACGTACCTCACTAATTGATTATTAATAAAAGGGGTTACTATTACTGCAGGTACGACGTTCAACATGCAATCGGATGATCAAAAAGGTGTAGGCGTCTTGCGCAATTTACACTTGTCATTAATCACGGCTAAAGTGTACTATTCATTTTATAAAATAACTATTTTTTTTTTAATATTAATTCATCGTCTCAATTATAATTATCATAACTACAATGACAGTAATCGGGCATGTGGAGTTTACTTTATTCTCACAGTTTCTAATCGTTAAAAAAATGTTATTGGTGGGATGATAATGATAATCATGAAAGTCATTAGACTGGTTAGTGGTTTTATTCCTCAAATTTAGAAAATTAAATTTTTACTAGCATAAGGCAGTCGCTATGCGACTGCCAAGATTTATGAATTATGAATAAGAAAACTTTGGCTTTCATGATGTTACACTTATCAAGAGCTTTCATTTGAGTACCCACATGTATTTT